TTAATAAGTAGCAATTTTTTCATCATACGATACTACAGAGTACTGTTGTACTGCCGTACACTAGCTATCTTCACCCACGACGGAGAAAAATGGAATGATTCATATTCTCCTCTTTCTCGTCACATAGTCTGCATTTCCTTTCTCCTTCTACTGAATATCTTAATGTTCTCTCCTCTTATTTGGAACATCTCAACCTTGCTATTATTGTGACCTTTTAGGCATTCGATACTCTCTCCGGTATCTTGTTTCCTCGTTAACTTTTCTACTTCTTCTTTTTTGTTTCTTTTATTCTCTGCCGCTTTCCATCTATAATCGTAATTTTTTTATTCTTTGTTTTCTTTGTTCTCACCATTTTCATTCTGTGTTCACTTTGTTGGTAGGCATTCCTTCGCCATCTCTCTTACCTTACCACCTTGAGTCCTGTTTTCATTTTTACGTTTTTCATTTTAGTTTCTTCTTTTAGTATGTGTTTTTTCTTTCAGGTTCAGTATACCCATTTGTAATATCTTCTTGGTATTCTTTCCAGCGCCTTACATTTCTGTGTACATAGTGAAAAACTCTTCAAATCCGTCTTCATGCCAATTAATTTTAAAGATGTGACTGTGGGTCACCTAGAACAATTATAAAGAAAGAACGTGTTTTAAAATTTGGAAGAAAAAGTCGTCAATACTGAAGCTGCAATTACTTATTAATTATCTAATGAATTAAATTAAAGAAATCAGTAATTTTTCAATATCTACTCGTATTGCTTTATAAAGTTGAAAATCTTTATCTTTGTGATAAAATATATGTTCTTTATTTGTTATAAATACTCAATAATTATCCCACATAATTAAATGTTGTAACGAGTTGAATAAGCCAATATATTGCCATAAGTGGTATTTTTAGAAGGTTTTACTTATTTCGTAATTGCTTGCTGTCCACGTCAATATCTCGAAAAAGGGACTTGAAGGAAAGCTTTGAAATTAGATAATGTTTGTAGAGGACCACAATGCTTCCTGTGCTTACGATAGCTTTGAACACTTGAAAAATCAAGGTTTACGTTGTGAAATTAAGCTCTATATATATAAGACCTATATACGTCATAAGCTTCTTAGAACATTAGTTACTGGTATAGAGAAGCCTGACGTATTATTTCCAATTTTAAAAATCTCCTGATATTTACTGGTAACAATAAATTTGTCATCATAAATCTTAACCTTAAAAATAAAAACTTAGGGTAGATTTTCAAAGACATTCTAACATCGGCTGTGTTTGTGGAAACTTGGCACAAGCTATAGAGTTTAATTACAAATAAGAAAATTTCATTGCGAACTTACGGAATTTGTCTAATAAAAAACAACAATCCAAGATTAGGAAGTACGGAAAGGTAATATTGAATGCTTTAACTGCATTAAACTTTGTGTCATCAGTAATTGTAAAATCTCGAACCAATTGACTACTGCACGCACCCACGCCCTGTCTTATTTTATTGTTTGATAGTTAATTAACAGAACAAAGATTGCAATCTAATTAAAAGAAAAATAAATTTACAAATTATTGTAAATGAATCAGGTCAGCGGCAGTCCGCGATAACCTGGATACGACGTCGGCAGAACGGACGGACTCGAGCGCTACCAATGGACACGGTCTTGCCCCTGGTCAAAGTCTCGGAAGCCTTGGTTAAACTCAACCAGAGTAAACGGCAGCTCCAGGAATCGGACGAGTTCAGCATATGGTGCCGGTCACTTCGGAAGTACTTACGGCCTAGCGAGAATGAAAGCAACAAAGCCCAAATTAATTAGCGGTGTCTACGGGAAAGCAAATGCAGAAAAACGAAACATTATTGTAATATTCAAAAAGGAATCACGATTACACCAAGTTATCTTCCATTAAAGTAAATAATTGAACCAACTCGTCCGTACTCGTACATTTTTATTTCCATCCATCGACTGCGCGCGTTCTTGTGCGCGACCTTTACGCCATCTGATGTTACATTGTATACAAGTAATTTAACTTAAACACTACATATCCCCCGCACTAAAATTAAACTTAATTCTTAATTAATCGATACCTAATTATGTACATATTAATACCTTAATCTATCGGGTTCTCTACGTCGCCTTTGTGGTCGTTCAGGTACAATTTCCTCATTTGAAATTTCCACTTCCGAAAAAGTAGTTTCTGGAGAAAGAACTGCAACCTCGGTTGCGTCCTGGTTTTCCATTTTTGGCGAATCTAACATTACATCATTAGTGACCTCTGAACCCTCATTTTGTGTCCGGTCAATATTTTGTGAAAAGTGACTATTTGGCATTTCCTCATGATTAATTTTGCGTATTTGATTAGCATGCCTTTTCCACCAAATATTACCGTGCACCTGTACAATGTAAACATTTCTACCTTTCTTACAATTTATTTTTGCTTTGGTCCATCTAGGTTTACTGAAACTATAATCTCTAACAAACACATCTTCACCTTTACAAAAATTAACAATCCTTCGTCCTTTATAATACCTCTCATTTTGCGTTTGTCGTTTCTTTAAATTTGCACGTACAATATTTACATCCAAATTATTTCTAACATTACAATTAGGTTTCAATAAATCTAATCTAGACCTCAATGGTCGTCCTATCATTAAACGAGCAGGCGTTTCACCTGTCGAGCAATGTTCCGTATTTCGATATGTGAATAAAAATCTGCTTAAACTAGAATTTAGATTACCTTTAACCTTAGCCTCATTTTCTTTTAATAAGAACTGTTTCACGGTTTTTACGCTATTTTCCGCAGCTCCATTTGAAGCGGGATTATAAGGAGGAATTGTAACGAACTTAATTCCATTCATGTGTAAAAATTCTCTAAACTCTAGAGATGTAAATTGTGGACCATTATCGGAACAAATCATTTTTGGTAAACCAAATCGGGAGAATACTTCTCTCAATTTTTCAATTAAGCTGAGCGTCGTAATATTAGACATTGGAAATACCTCTAACCACTTTGAGAACGCGTCAGTAATAATTAAAAATTGTTTTGAAAAAATGGGACCTAAAAAGTCGATGTGAATTCGCTCCCATACGTTTGCCGGTACTTCCCAATTTGTCAATGGCACCTTTGCCGGATTATTTTTAAATGTTTGACAAATTTCACAATTCTTACAAAGGTTTTCAATGTCTTTATTTAGCGAAGGCCAATATACATAATTCCTTGCTAAAGATTTTAATTTAACAATTCCTAAGTGAGTACTGTGAAGTTCTTGTAATACATAATTTTGTAATGACTTGGGAATTATTACTCTGTAACCCCACAAAAGTACCCCGTTTTCGACATTTAATTGTGTTCGAATCACTTGATACTGTTTATAATCCTTGGCACATTTGGTTGGCCATCCTGTCTTTACATATTATGTGATAACATTCCTAAGAATTTCATCACCTTCTGTCTCCCTTTTAATATCCGCAACATTAATAAGTAAGTTACTTTCCCGTAATTGATTTATTTCTTCTATTTTTGGTTCCAAATAAGACAGTTGCACCTCTTTTTCATTTATCGGTAACCGCGATAACCAATCCGCATTATTTTGATTGGAAGTGATGTATTTAATATTAAAATCGAATCCACACAAAAACAATGCGTATCTTTGTAATCGGTTCGCTGCCATTACCGGTATACCATGCTTGGGACCAAAAATTGTAACAAGCGGTTTATTATCAGTACATAATGTGAATTTTCGTCCATATAAGTACTGGCAAAATTTCTTTACACCAAACACAATCGCTAGTGCTTCTCTATGAATTTGAGAATAATTCCTTTCCGCTTGACTAAGCGTTCTTGATGCAAATGCAATTGGACGCTGCACCTTATTTGGGTAAGTATGCGAAATGATTGCTCCTATTCCCCATGGAGACGCATCTACGGTTAACTGGATGTCTAATTTTGGGTTGAAATGTACTAGGACTTCATTTGACATGAGCATCCGCTTAATTTTATCAACTGCATTTTGACATTCACTAGTCCACTCCCAACGTGCTTTATCCTTTAATAACTTGTATAAAGGGTGCAACACGGTAGGTATATTGGCTAGAAATCGATGGTAATAATTTACCGATCCTAAAAATGAGCGTAATTGGCTAACATTCTGTGGTGCAGGCATTTCCAGAATGGCTTTTGTGCGCTCTGGAGACTTATGCAATCCTTCTTTATCGATGACGTACCCCAGATAAGCGATCGAATGTTCAAAAAATTTACATTTTTCCTTTTTAACAGTTAGTCCTACCTCATTTAACCCTTGTAGCACTTTTTCTAATCTATCCAAATGTTCACTTTTACTTCTACCCGTTATTAGAATGTCATCCAAAAATATACAAACTCCCTCAAGGTGGGCAAACAAATGTTCTACAACTCTCTGAAAGTGTGCAGGAGCGGAACTAATTCCATAGGGTAACCTATTATAAACAAATGTCCCGTTATGTGTAGATATCGCCGTATATTTCCTGGAATCTGGGTCTAACACTAATTGCTGATAGGCATGTGCGAGATCAATTTTAGAAAACTGGATTCCGCCTTCTAATTTTTGGAACAAATCTTGAATGTTGGGTAAGGGATATCTTTCTTCTTCTATAAACGGATTTAGTGTTATTTTATAATCACCGCAAATTCGTACCGTATTATCGTCTTTTAAGATAGGTACAATCGGTGTTCCCCATTCACTATTTTCTGTTGGCGATAAAATTTCCGCATGTATTAGTCTATCTAATTCTGCATCTACTTTACTTTTTAACGAGTAAGGGAGAGGTCTGGGTTTACAAAATTTCGGAATCGCATCCGGTTTCAATTTTAACTTAAGTTTGAATTTGTTAAATGTACCCAACCTTCCTGAAAAAACCTGCGGGTATTTATGCACAACGTAGTGGTGAATGTCATTCATTTGGTTTAAAAACTTTAGTTCACTGTTTCGTAGCGGTAGCGGTAGCGTGTAATTTGTAGCGATATTAACTTATAAATTCAAACACAAACAGAACGTCTAACGATCAACAACCAAAGTCAAATTTATTTATTACCTATTTACAAGTTATACCTGCGCTCTAATCTAAAGACATCAAAACTGAACGTTTATGCTATCTAGCGGTCACACATAAAATATCAAATAAATAAATACAGTTTGTAATTCAACATACCGCCCACTGTTTCGAGTTAATCGAAACATGCAGCAAATCAAAATGATCAGTCTGTCTATCAGACAAAAAACAACTAAAACTATCTCGAAAACTATGTAGCAACCGGCAGAAACACAAGCCGATTAGTAGGGCGCGTATACACAGCACTCGCGGTGCGAACAGTCACAACACGCACCTTAGAGTCATTACTATGGTGTACTCTTTCGATGACACCGAGAGGCCAGGACAATGGCGAAGAAGATAGTCCAGTAATATACACGAACGATCCTACGGTGGGGTTAGGACAGTCACGAGTCCATTTTTGACGCTGCATTTGAGTATGCAAATACTCACTGCTCCACCGACGCCAAAAGGATTGAGAGAGAGCATGAATTCGTTGCCACCGAGATCCAACACTAATATCGGTATCAGTAAGGCACAGCTCCGGTGGGGCGACCAACGGTCTTCCGACGAGTAAATGTCCTGGGGTCAACACGTCGCTACCCTCGCGGGGGTCTGAGGAAATCATTCCAAGCGGGCGACTATTAAGCACAGCTTCGACGCGCGCGAAAAAAGTGCTGAGCTCTTCGAAAGTGAGGATTGTATTCCCAATTTGCCGGTACATAAGTAGTTTCATCGACTTAACTGCAGCTTCAAAAATTCCTCCAAAATTGGGTGCAGCGGGTGGATTGAAACACCACTTCACCTTTAGCGATGCGAGCTGAGTGTACAGTTCGTCTTGATGATTCTTGAGGAAAGTCGTAACTTCCTTCAGCTGTCGTGCGGCTCCTAGATAGTTCCGCCCACAGTCAGAGTGTAAGGTAGCAGGAAGAGAACGACGGGCACAAAATCGATGAAAAGCAGCCATTAATGCAGCGGTAGATAGTTCTGTAACAGCTTCTAGATGTACGGCTTTGCTTGCAGTGTCCACGAAAATGCAACAGTATGACTTATGGCGTGGACTATTGCGGCGGGGGGTCTCCTTGGTCTCAAAGGGGCCTGCAAAATCCGAAGCGGTCGTGTAGAATGGCGGAGCGGGTTGTACTCTGCAAGCAGGCAGATCGGCCATGATCGGCTGCCGCGGAGCAGCGGTGAGGCGAAAGCAAGGGCGACACATGTAGATTCTCTGGCGAATCAGCGAATGCGCGGCTAGTATCCAAAATTTCCTCTGGATGAAACTCATCGTTTGGCGGGGGCCTGCGTGTAACAATTGTTTATGATAATAATCACAGATTAGTGACGAGAGATGACATTTTTTGGGGAGTAGTAGCGGGTACTTGCTTTCAGATGGTAGCAAGCTATGTCGTAAGCGACCGCCCACCCTGAGGAATCCCTTTTCATCGATGTAGGGCGACAATTTGGAAAGGCGTAGCGGAACTTTGTTGGAATTAGTGGACTGTAGTTGTTTGATTTCTTCGGAGAATTCAACAGCTTGGGTAATGCGAACACAGCACAATAAAGCGTCACTTAACTCAGAAACGGATAGCGGACCAATTTTCCTAGCGGATTTGCAGCTCGCATTGTGAGCAAATCTCCGAATGTTCGCAACGATGCGTTGAAGGCGTGACAAAGATGAGAATCTCTCTATGATGTCTAGCGGGGAGTCGGTTGCTGCGGGGTTTGCTTGAACTACAAGTGTGGTAACCTTGCGCTCTGGAATTTCATCAGGTTCCATCGGGATGGAAATGTTCCAATGCTCTGGACTGCGGCTCATAAAAGAGGGACCATGCCACCATATCTGATCGTCAATACAACCACGCGAGGCACAGTCTGCGGCGTTAAACTCGGAAGGAACGTGCGCCCATTGGTAGTTCTTAGTAAGGTCAAGAATCGTTACAACTCTATTAGCGACAAATGTATTAAGAAGGTGCGGTGGAGTCTTCAACCATGCGAGTACTATGGTGGAGTCCGTTAGCATATGGATCGACGAATATGCATGACCGGGGTTGGCGTGCAGCACGGAGTTTATCAATTGGGAAGCCAGAAGACTGCCCAGTAGCTCCAATCGGGGAATAGATAGAGTCTTTAGCGGAGCAACGCGGCTCTTGGCTTTTACTAGATGAGCTTCAGCGAACTCACCTCGCTGCACATGTAGGTAAACACACGCGGCGTAAGCAGACGTGGAGGCGTCACTAAAACACACGAGGCGTAACACTGCTTCATCAACATTGAAGCATCGCGGTATTCGAAATTTGGGTAAACTGCTCATGACATGTAGAAAATCTTTCCAGTTTGATTGTATCGGTTCGGGTAGCGGCTCATCCCAATCACTGCGTAACAACCAAAGGCTCTGAATGAACTGCTTTGCCCGGCAGATCACTCCACACAGAAGCCCAAGGGGGTCGTAACTGTAACGTTTTCTATAAGCAGTTACAGGTTTTATAAATACTGCAAAAGTAATTTAATAGAGGTCAGGATATGAATATAAATTCAATTTTAAAATTTATCTGTTATCTAACATTCTTGACCAAGGGGTCAAGAGAAAAGACATTTTGATATAAGGCGAGGCTGGTGGTCAGTTGTTGAGCTGAATATAATTGTTTTAAATTTAAACTTTATACCACTGGTGAGTACAATCTCCGATCACTTTTTATTAAGACCCATTAATCCATAGGCCGCTTTCCTATTCTCTGGTATTCTGCGAGAATAAAGTATCATAATTGGATGATTAATGCGAAGATAATACTTACATCTAACGAGCCCAATCTGATAGCGACTAGTGGAGACCCAATCTGATAAGAGTCCTGTGGAAAAACCCTGGCTTCAACCACCTTTTTGGACATCCGTAATTCCACCAGTTTGAATTAGATCAAAAGCAAGGTCAGACTAATTTTACTTACCTACCGCTCCTGTCGTGAAGCATGTCGGGTCTATACCAGCATTAAGATTGTGGGCAAGGCGATCACCCTTAAATCTAGAACAAAAGTACCTACTCGTTAGCCAGACTCGAGGTGACCAGTTGTACTTACCAGTTTAGGAATCCGTAGCTGCACCGCTGCAGGTGTACCTAATCATCCGTTCGACATTTAACTTAATCTATTTATAATAAATAAAACTTAATTAGCGTAGCACTTCATGCTTGTTTAATTTTTCACTTGCTAAAGGAATACATTGTGACTACTTTAAAGTTTATTAGCACTACTAATACGGCAACTTGTTATATACCGGGTAGGTGCTGAGCGATTTGAGTGATTGGTAATCAATTTCATAAAGCCAAAAGGGAACTACGCAAGTATTATTTACCGCCTCTAACGTAAATGAGCATTTGTTAATTTACCTAAGATCGCTACCCCAATAAGGCCTTATTCCGCTAGCAGTCCATTTTATTTGTCGAGCGTCAGACTGCAAATCACTTGTGTGAGATTTGTATTGCAAACTATACCCTTGCGAGGTTGTTACCTACCTTATAAGTTACTATTGTGCGTCCCCTACTCAAGCCGTGATGTCCCTCCTGTACCAAATTATAAAAAAAAAAAATGTCAAAGCCTGTGACTATTGCCTAACATTAATATACGAACCGTTTAGTGTGACTGGTTAGTTTTTTTGCCCCAGCCGAGCACCCACGACCCCTGCCTCCTATATTCGAGCTGCCTCCTTTGGCAAAAGTTTGTGCCGTTGTTGCACGAGGCAACGTAGGTCATACATTTGGCGCCCAACGTGTATAATTTACTTTGTTGATTAATTTGATTATCAATTTTGGTTCTGCAATATTGGTGGCACTAGAAAGTTTCTTTATATTTGTTTTATTACAATAGCTATAGGATTTACATACTTATTCAGTAATTATGGACATTTACCGTCTAAAATCTGATGAACTCACCTACGAACTCAATCTTAGAGGTATAGAGGCGACCGACATGACAGTAGAAGATAAACGGAAGATGCTAAGATCGAAAATAACGCTAGAATCTCGCGACCCAACGTTAACGCAAAAATACAACATCATTGATCATGACCCAGAATCAGAAATAAGTACCTGTCAACAAAAATTAGAAGAATTAAGTGACATGGTGGAGCAGTACATTAGCAGACAAACCCCAAGCCTGTATAGTAAAGCCAACGCAAGACTACTACACTTATTTCACCGCATACGGAACATAAAGAGCAACGAAGAAAACTATGCAACAGTGAAGCAATTGGACAATCGATGCCTAGAGGTTATGAACGCATTACAAGAAGTCGCAGATGAAAGCAGATGTCAATCTGATCCAGAACCTGAAGATAGAAGAGAAGCTGAAGAAATAAGAGAACCGGAAGAAAGAAGAGAGATAAACCCACAAATAAATAGAACACTGATGCATGCCGACACCATACAGATAACAAGAGGAGAAGAAACACAGGAAATCCCAAACTTGCAAACGTTTGTCGACAACATAAGACGTCTGAATCTCGAAAGTTCTCCAGCTACCAACAACACACAATTAAGTTCAGCAAAGTCCATACCGGTGTGCAAGTGGAATGTATATTTTGATGGCGACTTAAAGAGAATGGGTGTCAATTCATTCCTTGAACGAGTAGAAGAATTGAGAATTGCGAGGAACATCACATACCCACAGCTGGTAAATAGTGCAATTGATTTATTTAAGGGACAGGCATTGATTTGGTATCGAGCAGTTAGACAAAAAATACGGACATGGGAAGAGTTGGTAACAGAATTGAAAGATACATTCTTACCAGAAGACTATGACGATGCCCTATGGAATGAAATTCGCGCACGTTATCAAGGAGCTGAAGAAAAACCAAGCGTGTACATAGCTGCCATGACCAATCTATTCAATAGGCTGACTATCAAACCATCAGAGTGGGAACAACTAAAATTAATTAGGAAGAATTTGCAACCATATTTCAAAACAAATTTAGCTTTAACTTCAATACGCACCGTCGGAGAACTGAATTTCCTCTGCAAACGCCTCGAAGACGTGAAATTTCAGAACTATGTATTTAGAAATCCACAACTTAAGAACTCGTGTCCTTTAGAGCCTGATTTAGCGTATAACGAACCTGAAAAGAGAAAAAAGCAAGTAAATGCAGTTGTGAAGAGAAGTAACTTTAGAGCAAAAGCCGAATTAAACTGCTGGAACTGCAAACTACCAGGGCATACTTACCACGTCTGCACAGAAGAACTGACAGTATTTTGTTTTAAATGCGGTAATCCAGGAACGAGATACAGCAGCTGTGGTCCATGTAAGTCAAAAAACGAGCAACGGGGGTGGTCAGATCAGCCCGGGCCATCCCGAAGACAATAAACAACATGAAGAATCACCAACCAATCACGGAGACGCGAAACCTACAAATTGATAATAAATGGAAGGAATGGTTACATAACGTCAAACAATTTTACAAGCAAACAATCCATGTAGCAGCATCGTTCAAGCATCCGAATAAAGACGACAGGCCATTTTTGACTGTGAACGTAGGAAATGACAAATTAATTGTGTTGATGGATCCTGGTGCGAGCCAAACAATTTTGGGTAGTAAGGGACTATTTTTAATAGACAAATATGATTTGGAAATCACTCGTCCAACCTCACAGATTGATTTACGGACAGCCGATGGTTCGCCTCAAAAAGTATTAGGTACTGTTGAATTACCTATAACACTGGATGGTAAAACAAGGTGCATTGAAACATTAATAATTAATACCATTTCCCCAGCGATTATCCTAGGTATAGATTTCTGCCGCAAATTTGGTATCAGATCAGACTTCCTAACCGATAGCTACACTACTACAAGATCGTTATGCGCACTCACAGCGATAAGAGGTGCTGAAGAGTTGGACGACTTGCAGAATGCAGAAAATACATCTAGAAAATGTAATTGAGAAAATGAGAACTGAAATAGGAGGCAAAACTTTAGGAAGAACACATAAAGTTACACATCACATTAACACTGAAGGAGCCGCACCTATAAAGCAACGGTATCATTCCATGTCACCATATATGTTAGAACATTTAAACAAGGAAATCGACAGTATGCTGGAGCAAAAAGTTATCAAACCTTCAACATCGCCCTGGTGTTCACCTGTTGTAATGGTGAGAAAAAAATCTGGAGAATTCAGACTTTGTTTCGACGGACGAAAGTTGAACGCGGTAACGAAGCACGATGCATTTCCTCTTCCACATGTTCAAGACATCCTAGATCGGTTACGTGACGCACGATATATTTCGACAATAGACTTGAAAAAGGCGTTTTGGCAAATACCATTGGATGATGAATCGGGCGAAAAAACAGCTTTTGCAGTACCTCGGCGTGGGTTGTTCGAATTCACAGTACTCCCATTTGGTCTACATAACGCAGCGCAAACACTACGGAATTAGAACCCAACATAATAGTATATCTTGATGATATTATAATGATTAGTAAAACTTTTTCACAGCACATATCATTATTGGAAGAAGTAGGTAAACGACTCAAGAATGCAGGTTTAACAATAAACTTGGAGAAATGTGAATTTTGTAAACCTTCGTTAAAATATTTAGGCTACGTAGTAAATAAATATGGATTGCACACAGACCCAGACAAAGTTGAAACGATAGTAAAAATGCCTATACCACGCAATAGTACAGAGGTGAAAAGATTTTTGGGAATGTCAAGTTGGTACCGCAAGTTTATACCCGAATTTTCGACGATAGCAGAACCAATTTTAGCAACCATAAAAGGAAAAGTTAGAAAGAAACAAGCAATAAAATGGACACCGGAAGCTGAAGAAGCGTTTAATAAATTAAAGCAGTTATTGACATCAGCACCAATTTTAGTTAGTCCAGATTTTACAAAGATGTTTCATATACAGACAGATGCCAGTGATGTGGGTATTGGAGCAGTACTCGCACAAGGAGATGGTGAAGACGAGAAGGTCATAGCATACGCCAGCAGAACCTTGAGTGGTAGCGAAAAAAATTATTCAGCAACAGAAAAAGAATGCTTAGCGGTACTGTTTGGTATACAGAAATTCCGTCCATATGTTGAAGGAACGAGATTTAAAGTTATAACAGATCACCATTCACTTCAGTGGCTGAATTCAATAAAGGATCCTTCTGGCAGACTGGCGAGGTGGAGTATGAAATTGCAACAACATGATTTCACAGTGGAACATCGAAAAGGGAAAGAAAACGTAGTCCCGGATGCGTTATCAAGAGCACCTTTAGAAGTAGCCTGGATAGATATAACAACAATCCAACCAGATAAGTGGATAAGAAGAATGACGACAAGAATAAAGGAATCACCAGATAAATATCCAATATGGAGAGTAGAAGACAATCTTCTTTACAAGTTTGTACCAAACAACCATGGAATAGAGTCGAACTTGGTAGAATGGAAATTGGTGATCCCAACAGAAAAACGGGTAGAAGTATTAAGAATGTGTCACGATGAACCAACCTCAGCTCATTTGGGATCATACAAGACGTTTCACAAAGTCGCAGAGAAATATTACTGGCCGAAAATGAAAAGCGACGTAAAAAAGTATGTGGCAAAGTGTAAAATATGCCAGTCCAACAAGACGTCACAAGGAGTTAGAGCAGGATTGATGGGACTAGAGAAGAAGATAAATTTTCCATTCCAATTATTGTCAATGGATTTGGTGGGACCACTTCCGAGGTCATATAAAGGAAATACATCCCTACTAGTAATATGTGATTGGTTTACAAAATTTGTTTTCCTACATCCAATACGAAAAGCGACATCGGCGGCAATAATAAAATACTTGGAAGATCATGTATTTTTAACCTTCGGAACACCACAAATCGTAGCCTGTGATAATGGACCGCAGTTCACGAGTGCCATATTCAAAAAATTCATGAAGGAGTATGGAATAGAAAAAATATGGTTCAATGCTGTTTACCATCCTCAAGCAAATCACGCAGAACGCATAAACAGAGTGGTGACAACGGCCATACGTTCATATGTAAGAGATGACCACAAGAAATGGGACGAAAATATATCCAAGATAGCACATGCAATCAGGAACGCGAAACATGAGGTGACCGGATATACCCCATCGTTTTTGAATTTTGGTCGCACAATTCCATGTTCAGGGCAGTATTATGGAAGATTAAAAAATTTCCCTCCAGAAGAGCTCACCATAGAGAATAGAGAGAAAACAGTATTTGAGATAAATGAACTTTCAGAAATATATAGAGATGTTACATCTAAACTAAGTAAAGCCTATTTGAAAAACCAGAAACAATATAATCTACGAAAACGCCCATTAAAATTTCAGGTGGGAGACCCAGTTTGGAAAAAAAATTATGTATTATCAGATGCAGCAAAAAACTTTAGTGCCAAGTTAGCAGATAAATTTATACCAGGTATTGTTAAAAAAGTAACAGGGCAGTTAACTTACCAACTAGAAGATATAACTGGTAAAGACATGGGTAACTGGCATGTGAAAGACCTCAAACCTAGAGACGATACAAACACTGACTGACTTACATACATTAGGATTAGAGTAGGTTAGATATTAAATTAGGATTAGATTAGGTTAGACATCAAAGTAGGATTAGGATAGGTTAAATTTAGCTACCGAAGGATTTACTGCAAAATTTCGCAGAAAAAAAAAATACCCTTTACAATTCAGTTAGTAGTTTTGTAAGCTACAGAATCTAAACAGTTATGCTGAGGATAGCTGCTGTAAATAGGCAACGTAGGTACGCCACAGACAGTTTAGAAATTATAAAAATAGAATTGGGTTATCACAATTTACATTGTTGTAACAGTTAATAACCAACAAAAAAAATATCGATATTAGGATCCATTATCCAGATTGCTTCAATCTTGAAAGAGAATTTAAGGGTAGAATAATATCCATTTTGAAGTTACTTAGAGAAAAACAGATTTAACTATGACCGAGTTAGTACTATACTAGGTACATGTTTTTCAAACAAAAAAATTATAGGGTAAACGTACATGCTACATAGGATCGCTAAGTTAAACCTATTAGTTAGAATAAAGTAGGATAATTTAGGATTAAGGTAATTTAGGAATTAGTAGTTTTAGAATAGCATAGGGTAGTTAGAATAGGTAGGATAGGAAACTTTAACTCGAGTTATGCCGAATGGTCGACCATTTAACCAAATATGAACCTTGTTGTTAGTATTCAGAATGTGAAACTTAATTTTAGGTGAAGGTTTTCTTGCAGGGGAATAATTTCACACTTTACAGCGTTTAGGAGGGGGGTTGTGTAACGTTTTCTATAAGCAGTTACAGGTTTTGTAAATACTGCAAAAGTAATTTAATAGAGGTCAGGATATGAATATAAATTCAATTTTAAAATTTATCTTTTATCTAACATTCTTGACCAAGGGGTCAAGAGAAAAGACATTTTGATATAAGGCGAGGCTGGTGGTCAGTTGTTGAGCTGAATATAATTGTTTTAAATTTAAACTTTATACCACTGGTGAGTACAATCTCCGATCACTTTTTATTAAGACCCATTAATCCATAGGCCGCTTTCCTATTCTCTGGTATTCTGCGAGAATAAAGTATCATAATTGGATGATTAATGCGAAGATAATACTTACATCTAACGAGCCCAATCTGATAGCGACTAGTGGAGACCCAATCTGATAAGAGTCCTGTGGAAAAACCCTGGCTTCAACCACCTTTTTGGACATCCGTAATTCCACCAGTTTGAATTAGATCAAAAGCAAGGTCAGACTAATTTTACTTACCTACCGCTCCTGTCGTGAAGCATGTCGGGTCTATACCAGCATTAAGATTGTGGGCAAGGCGATCACCCTTAAATCTAGAACAAAAGTACCTACTCGTTAGCCAGACTCGAGGTGACCAGTTGTACTTACCAGTTTAGGAATCCATAGCTGCACCGCTGCAGGTGTACCTAATCATCCTTTCGACTGTTAACTTAATCTATTTATAATAAACCAAACTTAATTAGCGTAGCACTTCATGCTTGTTTAATTTTTCACTTGCCAAATGAATACATTGTGACTACTTTAAAGTTTATTAGCACTACTAATACGGCAACTTGTTATATACCGGGTAGGTGCTGAGCGATTTGAGTGTTTGGTACTAAATTTCATAAAGCCAAAAGGGAACTACGCAAGTACTATTTACCGCCTCTAACGTAAATGAGCATTTGTTATTTTACCTAAGATCGCTACCCCAATAAGGCCTTATTCCGCTAGCCGTCCATTTTATTTGTCGAGCGTCAGACTGCAAATCACTTGTGTGAGATTTGTATTGCAAATTATACCCTTGCGAGGTTGTTACCTACCTTATAAGTTACTATTGTGCGTCCCCTACTCAAGCCGTGATGTCCCTCCTGTACCTAATTATATAAAAAAAAATGTCAAAGCCTGTGAATATTGCCTAACATTAATATACGAACCGTTTAGTGTGACTGGTTAGTTTTTGCCCCAGCCGAGCACCCACGACCCCTGCCTCCTATATTCGAGCTGCCTCCTTTGGCAAAAGTTGTGCCGTTGTTGCACGAGGCAACGTAGGTCACATAACATCGACTAACGTAACCGAGTACTGAACGTTTCGTAGCGGGGCCTTCAAAGGGTTTAAGGCGATAACTGAACGCGTCTTCTTGCGGTAGGTAGCATAGACCAAGAATTTTCAGCATGGGATCACCAGTACTGAATTCCAGCGGAACTTCCTTGTGGGAATCAGGAATGTCGTCAAGCACTCGTGGATTGCTCGAGCTCCATTTGCGCAGAGGCATGCATCCTGCGTCGAGCAGCTCAGTCAGTTCTTTGCGAAGTTGCTTGGCCTCAGCAATAGAGGAAGATCCTCCGACGTAATCATCCATATAGAAATCTCGAACTAAAGCAATAGCGGCATTTGGGAAGCGGTGACCTTCGTCAGCAGCGAGTTGGCGAAGGGTGCGTTGAGCAAGAAAACTACTGCTTGTCATACTATATACGACACGAGTTATTTCGTATTCTTGAAGCGTATGTTCGGGAGATTCACGCCAGAAAACGTGCTGATGCTGCCTGTCTTCTGGATGGATGGCGAGCTGGCGAAACATCATTTTGATATCACTGCACAGTGCGATGTTGTGGAAGCGAAAACGAATAAGAATGTCACTTATGTCTGCCTGCAGCTTCGGTCCTGGTAGAAGTAACTGGTTCAGAGACGTCCCTGTGACGTCCTTGGCGGAAGCGTTGAAGACGCACCTCAGTTTGGTGGAGGTGCTCTCCTTCATGACGCAGTGGTGTGGCAGAACATAACTTGATGGTGAAACACTTAGTTGCATGTGTTTCATTTCGATGAACTCTTGCATGAATGCGGAATACAATAACTTTACTTGCGGTTGACGCCCTAATCGTCTTTCTAGCGATCTCAAACATTTTTCAGCGGCGCTGCGGTTGGACAACTCTTTAGGATTGGTTCCTGGGCGGAAAGGGAGGCGCAGTACGTATCGTCCCTCAGAATCCCTGGTATGCGTGTTGATGTAATGCTCTTCAGCAATGACGTCCTCTGGGTTTGTTTGCGCCGACGGCATGGAAACTTGTTCAATTTCCCAAAAGCGAGTAAGCGTAGATTCAAGCGGATGCGATCGAATTAGCATGGCAGTAGCAGAACATAGCGGCTGCGGTTCGGGCGTTGCTCCAAAGATAACCCATCCAAATTTTGTCCTTTGGGCAGTAGGTTGGCCAGGAATTAGGTTTGGAGTCTCTTCAGTCAGTAAATTAGCGTGAGCGTCTGCGCCGAGCAAAATGTCGATCTTCTTTTGTCGGTGAAACTGATTGTCTGCAAGTGGCAGCTGAGAAAATTTGCGGTAGAGGTCTGGCGAGAGTTCTGCAGTAGGTAAGTCATCACATATATGCGGTAGGACACTGGCCTCGGTCACATAAATTGCCGGGGGCTTGAAGCGGGATTGAAGTCTTAATTGAACAGAACCCTGGGAAGTAGATTCTCTTCCGCTCACTCCGAGGATGCAGCGAGCTTCTCCTTTGCATTGTAATCCTAGGCGGTTTGCGAGCTTACTTGTCACAAGACATCTTTGACTGGCGCTGTCAAGTAGCGCACAAACATCGTGCAGATTGCCGAACGAATCCTGTATTTTACACAAGATGGTGGCGAGAAGCACCTGGTTCGTAGATACGCACGACATGACGGCTGCGGGTCTTTCTTGAGCGGTGTCTGTACTAGTGAGAGGCGTGGAAGACGACGTAGTAGAAATTGCGGGAGGCGATGCAGTACTTGGCACGGTGGGTACAGCGGTTGGAAGGTGTAAAAGACTGTGATGAGCTCGGTTGCAGATTCTGCAGAGGACTTTACTTTTACAGTCTTTGACCTCATGTGACCCAAAACAATTGAAGCAGGCGTGAGAAGATTTGATAAAATTGGTACGATCAGCAGGCGACAATTCTCGGAATTGCTGACAGTGAAAGGTTTGATGATCAGCGTTGCAGTATCTGCATTTCGGTTGAGACGACGTTCTTGCTTGCGTGATGTGGGTTCTAGATTGATTTGGTTTTGGTGGCGCGAAGAAAGCGGTTTTTGATTGGGTAGAAAGAACGCATTTGACGTCCATTTCCAATTCGTGACTGCGGGCTCTTTTCTCAACGTGATCCAAAAGTTCAATTAGTTTCGGCAGTTCGCTAGCATTCTCGTTGTCGAAACTGGCTTTGATTTTTGGATCGCAGTTATTGTACGCAATTTGAAAGAGGATGAAATCAGCCAAATCGTTGAGCTGGAGATTGGCTAACGCGGATGTCGAAGTGCGGTGAACTTCAAGGTAATGAAGTAGATCACCCTTGTTAACAAATTTGACAAGTCTTTGTATGTGAAAGGCAGCTATGCGGCGGTTGTTAGCATACCGTTTTTTCAAAGCGTCATAAGCGGGAGCGTAATTTGAATCTTGTAAGATGAAGCGCGATACGGTTGCGTGTGCTTCTTTAGCGGTATATAAACGTAAATATTGAAGCTTAGTGGCGTCATCAATACCTTCTTGATTATGCACTAAACTATCGAAAAGCGATATAAAGTTTTCCCATTTTTCAATTGCACCGTCAAATATTGGAATCTGAATTTTTTGCAGCGATGGACCCTTAGTATTAACCGTAGCGGTAGCACCAACAGTAGCGACAACGTTTGATGCAATGATGCACCGTTTTCGATAACCGTTAGGCAGTTCTTGTTAATAAAATCAATGAGTTCAATAAATGCCTCGAGATCATTGATGTTTACAATGTCCGCTTTATCTTTATCAACATTATAGGTGATAATGTCGACGTTTAACGCACGAAAGGATGCTTCAAGCGTATCCATTCGCCGTAAATATGTTTTGGCAACGATAATTGGGAAATCGCATTGCCTTACCTTTTTACTGAGTGCGGTGAGCTCTTTAAAAAGGTCTTCTTTGCGAATTGTTAGAATCTTCTTTGAAGCCATTGTGAATATTGCACTTGCACTTGCGATAATAACTTGTAAATAACACAGGACTTTGCGGTAGCGGAAAGTTAAAGTAAAAGCGGTATCCGTCTCGTTGGACCAAATGGTTTCGTAGCGGTAGCGGTAGCGTGTAATTTGTAGCGATATTAATTGAGTAAATTTAAACACAAACAGAACGTCTAACGATCAACAACCAAAGTCAAATTTATTTTATTACCTATTTACAAGTTATACCTGCGCTCTAATCTAAAGACATCAAAACTGAACGTTCTATCTATCTAGCGGTCACACATAAAATATCAAATAAATAAATACAGTTTGTAATTCAACATTCACTAAACCCCATATTAAATTTTGAAGGAAGTCCCTACCAAGCAACGGTGGTCCGCCTCTCTCTATTACATTTAATATCAAGGCATGAGTGTCACCGTTAAAATTTACGTTAACAATAATTTTACCTAATGGAACAATCTTTTGTCCCGTATAACTTACAAAATTGATATCTGTTTCTAACAGATTATGACATGAAATAGTATATTGAAAGACAAGTGTTACAATGCGACCTATTGTAATACGACTATCTTGTGGCACGAGTGGCGACGCGACCTCGTCCGACATATTCATGAAATACTTAGGCGGTCGTTCCGGACCAATCCACTTCCGCAATTCCGCGAGAGTGTTGCGAATGTTACTGGTGTTAAATGCTATTTCCATTGCGATGGACTCTTGCTTGTGTTTGGCCAAGTCTGCTTTAAGGACTTCTGCTAGTCGAGGTGCGTTTTCTTCGTAGAGACGTAAAAGGTTTTTGAGTTGTTGTTCGCGAAATTCCACTGGTTTTGTACGTCCCGTGTTGAATGCACCTCTTGCTCTTGTTACAACTTCTTCAGCGGATAGAGACATCTTTACTCCTAAAAAAATGAAAGATTAATGTTTGTGGTTCTCACGCAGTCACCAAATGCGATTTGAAAGCTTACGCCCTTTCATTTGACAGTAATTTTGAACAACAATTGTGTACATTTTTTGTCTCGAAAATGTAACCACTTAATTAATAGATTCTTTGATTACTCTTGGTAGAACACCCGATTCTTTCCCACATTGATATAGTCAATAATTTACCAGAACCCCAATAAAGCTGTCAAATGTAATGCGGACTTGGGGAACTGAAACCATCCGTATTTACGACGGCGTGCCGATATTAATTGACATTTTGACTACGAATTCCTAGAGTGATTTTGGCCAGTGTTTCGTTCAGTGTACTCGTTTATTGGATTCATCCACTTTACTTAAACTATCTCTGCGTCCATTTATATTGTATCTGTGCAATTAGGTCCTTTGTTCATAATAAAAGGGTACAGGAATACTTTTCCTTAGAAATGTTATGCATATTACGTATATGAATACGAACGCTATTATCTAGTACTAATTACTGAAGGTACCTTCTTGTCTTAAGTATTAGAGTATATTGATTATTAACTTAGGGATGTTGAACTCTATGTCTGCTGAATGGAAATATGTGTGTGCAGTTGCTGGCCCTATTGTAATTAATTGGGACAGGATGGTCACCCGACCAACGTTGGAAGGTCGCCTACTTCGCAGGTGATACCGCGCACCAGGTCAGTATTGGTGCCTGGAGTCTGTTGTCTTGTCTGGCGTTATGTTTATCTCTCTCAGGGGTTACGGCGTACCTGGGATCCATAGTAACCTTCTGTTTGTCCCGACTGGGTGTCTATACACTTTGGAAGGCCTCCCATTATTTCACCTAAAGTTACGTTTCACAAACAAGGGCTCCGACCAATTTGAGGGTGTTTGCGGGCCCTCTGATCAGTACATCCATACCTCAGGATGCGTTGATACCACAGATCGGTGTAAGTACTCTGTCTCTTGGTCACTTGGGCCTACCGCGTTGGAAGACTCGGGCGGATCCCTCGCCTAAAGGCGTCTTTCATGGGAGTTACGTTTTCAGTGTGAGGGCTCCCTGGACAAAGTGGCCCCGGAAGACTCTTGCAGATCCTCCATTAGTTCTACACATGAGGGTAAGAATTGTACAGACATTCATTGGCTACAAGAAAAGTCGCCCCCGGATTATCGCCTCCAAGGAGAAGTCGCTACCAGAAAATGCTCCCTATTACAATTTATTTATTTATTGTTCCTCTCTTGTTCTGGGCCCTCAACAGCCTTTCGCCCAATTACAAAGTGATCCTCATAATGCTTTTTAGAGGTGCCCCTGCAGACGGTCTTAAGTTGCTCCATACCACTCCAGTATTTACCTTATTAATTAGGAAAATTGCAGGAAAAACTAATTCGGAGTAGTCGACAGAATGCTCGAAACTGATCTAAGGAAATTCCCATCTCTGCCACAGATGAAAAATTCTTACCTCAGCACAGGTTCGAACACTCGACCTCTCGACTATGTAGTCCCACGCTTCCCACCCATCCCGATTAATCATGTCTAAAAAAAACATTCCGAGATGTGTTCCGGAGTAGAAAAAGAACCAAACGGGCAGGGGACAAAAGTCCCACTCATCCCGATTAATCATGTCTAAAAAAAATATTCCAGATGTGTTCCGGAAACAAAAAAAAACAAAAAAAACAAAAGAGCAGGGGACAAACGTCCCACCCATCCCAATTAATCCTGTCTAAAAAAAATATTCCAGATGTGTTCCGGAATAAAACAAAAGAGCAGGGGACAAACGTCCCACCCATCCCAATTAATCCTGTCTAAAAAAAATATTCCAGATGTGTTCCGGAATAAAAAAAAAGAACATGGAACAAAGATCCTACTCATCCCATTAAAAAAAATTATAAAATAAAATTAATATCAAATTTAACAAAAAAAAAGGGTGTACTGTTTCGCCATTTCAAACTTACCTCAGCAATCGGCGCACCGATGACAAGATGGCCGTGTAAGCGGAACTTTGTTAAATATGAAAACATCACGTTTTATTACAGTAATTCAGTAATGTTTATTGTTCAACAGACTCTTAGGCCCGGTTGTATAATGTCAGTTTAAACTTCAGTTTATAGTTGAATTGTGGGTTAAAGGATTTGATTGGCTAATATTTCACAAGCTGGCCAATCGTATTTCTCAAATCTGTCGGTTAAACCAAACTGAAGTTTAACCCGACATTGTACAACCGGGCCTTAGTAATCCATAAATGAACAACTATAAAAGTAAATATAGATACAGCTTGCTAAGGCAGTTTTATTACAGCAGGGGGCGCGCGAAGGAGTGCGCCCCACATATAGGGGACTTCGTAGGCGACATCCAAGAAAGACGGTCGATAAATAGAGCACTGTATCGAGTCATTGTTGCTGTTCAATAAACGCCTATTGTAAATTGTTATATAGTGTTTAATTTAGGGGTGTAATACCCCTCATCCCTTATACCGTTAATAAGTTAATTTTTACAAGTATAACCAAGAGATGGTATATCGTAATGTGTCTGAGATTTTGTTAGGAATGCGCCTAAACCCAATAGTCTGTTGGCCAAGACGTGAAATTGATTCATTTTATATGTGAGCGACTTCCGTGATAGGGCTCTGTCAATGTTGAACGAAAAGTGAACGTTTCCTCGTCGTGGGCGAAACGAAACGTTAACGTTCAACATTATGTAATGGACGGTCGCTTTGACGTTTCAAAAATTTGGTTTTGACTTTGTATTTTAAACATAGGGAAATTTACACAAATACCGCTTCATAGCGAACATGAACAAAAGTGTGTCTGGCGATAACAATCGACAACAAAAACCTATTGGGGAAAGCGAGCGCGGTTGCCACGACCTATTTCAACCTAAGAGTTTCATTCCGTTCCGTTTAAAGGGAACACGTAACAAAAATGCAGGTTCACTAGTCGTGTAAAAAGGTCAATGTCGTTGCGTTGAGAAAATAGCTCCCGTTTCATAACTTCTAACGGCAAATAGCCAGAGAGTGGTGTTTGCTGAACTTTGTCAAGAAAAGTTAAAATATTATAGGGATAAGGGGCATCCTGTCCCCACTGAGGATGCAACCGGAAACAGTTGCGAAGATATCAAAGAGTGCGGTTTGGACGCAGGCAATGGCAAAGAAAAAAGAAAGTTGGACTTGCTTTGGTTTTTTGCGTTCTCCATAATAAAAAACCACCAACCTCTGGCGGAAGTGCTCATGAAGTTCTGTCTGCACAACATCGCATTGACAAGTGATCTCAATGAGATGCTTCAACAGGTCCGTTTACGGGAGGAATATAGAGGGATGGAACGAAATAAGAAACCATCAAAATATCAAATGTATGTGTTGTTTTTCGGTTCAGGGTCATCGCCATATATTTCCGAAAAATCTCAACGCGGAAACTTACAAAGAAAGGTTCCCGATTGCTGGTAAAGCAATCCAAGAGCAAATGTATGTAGATGACTACCTTGATGGAGCAGAGTCCCTAATAAAGAAGCCACCAAGGTACAACAAGATATGTGCAGAAGTATATAGAACATCTCTTTAGTTAAAAGGAATTCCTCATCAACAGAAGTTTTACAAGCAATACCTGAAAATGTACTTGAAGTGAACGATAAAGATATTGTCAACAAGAGTGAAATTCCATCCAAAAGACATTAGGAATTGTATGGGATTCAACGGGATTCCAAAGGAAGTTATGGAAGAAATACGAAGACCATAATCAGAAGGAAAATAACAAGCTTTGTCATAAGTGCCTTCGATCCCCTTGGTTTTTTTGCATCCATCAATATGAAAAGATTATCAGTCCTACCAGTTAGTTTGCAGGTCCCAGACGATGATAGATTGGGACGACGAAGTACAGGAAGCAGTTATGCCATATTGGAAGATGCGGATCCATATCTCTCCGCAAATGACAGAGCTTTCACTTTTTCGAAGACAACAA